TTACCTGATGGCTTTGGTAACACGTCCGCTCGCAGTTCATTACACCGAACATAGATGTTATACAGCGAAAATTGACTGTTTGCTGTCTTTACTGTAAATTGTTGATAGTGAATACTTTCATCATTGTGAGTTTTAATCCATTTACAGACCAGACCATTCTTTACATATGTGAGCAGGCCACTTCCTGCTCCACTATTATATGCTGTAAACCCAGCTATCCTGGTGCAACTTTCTTCTGGGTGCTGGACGTGTAAGGTTCTTGTAAGCCAATTACATCAATGTCAAAAACTTTAACAAACCATTGTAGATCATTAATTCTGCGATTAACACTCCGGATGTTCCATGAAATGAACCTAAGCGTTCGTGTTACTTTTCCCACCTTGAATTTAACGTAGAGAGTCGCACGCTGGCTTCATAGATCAGCCTGACCAATAAGCTGACCCTTCCAATTTCTGTACCTCTGGATTTCCTGATAATGTTCTTCACAGCCCTTATTCCAGTAGGATTTTTATACGCGGGTTCCTTCATCAGTCCCGCGAGTTCCTCCTCCGTAAACAATGGAAAACTTACAGGGTCATGAACAGTCTGCAGACCTGGGACTATCATAGAGACCACACTGGCAGTCTGGGGCTCATTCTCCCCATCCATGCTACCATCACTATCGGTCTCGCTCTGGCTACTCACCCTCAAGTTGGCATCATTATGAGAGGAGGCACGAGCTCCTTCAGAAGCTCCACTAACACTATCACTGTCATTGTTCACTGGTACACTTACTTGGCAGGCTTTAACCTGACCTGCATTGGCTAACGAAGGAGAGTCACTGTGCCTGTTGACTTCAGGTGGTGGAGGCGATCCGGCCGCATTGGCATCATTGAGTGGGACTGCTATTGTGGATGGAGGAGACCTCCCAGGACAACTGGGGTGCAAGGCCGTCACACCCTCCTCCCTGGACCTGGGACACTGCCCCCTGGGTGGGGAGGTGTCGCTGTTGATTTCAGGTGCTGGAGGCGACCCCGCAGTGTTGCTGTTGGCATCACTGAGTGGGACCGCTTTTGTGGGTGGAGGCGGGCTCCCAGGCAACCTGGATGCCAGGCCGTCACACCCTCCTCCCTGCACCTGTAACACTGCCTCCTGGGTGGGGAGGTGTAGCTGTTGATTTCAGGCGTTGGCGGCGACCCTGTAGCGTTGGCGTCACTGAGTGTGACCGCTATTGTGGGTGGAGGCGGGCTCCCAAGGCAACCTGGATGCCAGGCCGTCACACCCTTCTTCCTGCATCTGGCACACTGCCACTCAAATGGGGAGTCCTGCTCTCTTCCGTCCTGAGAGGCACCTTCCTTGATGGGGCAGCTGCTTGTGCTATGCATTCCTGCGCAGTAGCCGCAGGTGGCTGGCTTGTGACAGTATTTCGCCACATGATTGACCCCAAAGCAGTTGTAGCACACCACAGGGAGAGGAATCCACCGACTGATGTTACTAGGGGTACCGTACGTGCTGCCAAAGAAGCTGTACTTCTCAGGAGGTGGTTCCTTCCTTTTCCAAACAATGATGATCCTACTAAGTTGTGCACCATCCTTATAGAGTCTTCTTGCACTGTGGACGCCCTGAAGTGACAGAGCTCTCTTGGGGGGAATACCCTTGGGGAATTGGGTGACAAGGTATTCCTTCATTTTTTGGGGTCGAACAGGTTCATCTCGCTTAATAAGCTGTATTGAACCGACCTTACCATCAATGAAGCGTTGGATAGCTTCTGTCTCCTCTCGGCCTACATAGACAAAACGAGGGGTGTTACCTGGCACGACAACATTCAGCTTAGCCATGCCATAATCCTTATTCAGGGCAGTCAACCAATTAATCTTCATCAAATTGGTTGCGTTCTCGGGGAAGGCAAGGCGCATGTACTTAGCCCGGGGAGCAATGGGAGGGGGGGGGATGCCCCTATTGGCTCTCCTCTGCTTCCTTCCCTGGGTCCTCATCTTGCGTTTCTGCTGACGTGTCTGAAACTTCTGAAAGCCAGCTTCAGTGTCGCCATGACTGTCCTCTTCATCTTCTTCATCAAGGACATTGGCAGAGCGCCGCCCAGCGATGACTCCTGCCATGGTTAGATTTAGATGGAATCTAGGCCATATACACTGGGGCACAGAGGCGACATGTAGGCCAGCGATGTCCTTGAGGCGTAAGCCCTCTTATAGGACAAGGGGAGAGGAGAGCCTGACATCAGCGGTGTGAGGGTAGGAGGGCCTCCTGGGAGCGGAGGGAGTGGGGTGTCGGTGGGGGGACTAAGGTAACAGGCGTATTCTCAGTTTATAAGCACTTTTATTACACTTCACTTGTTCTTAATAGTATCTCTGTTTTTCTGGTTAGATACAGTATAAAAGTCAATTTTAGTTTCAATAGAACTATCCAACGTGGCACCATAAAAGGGGGGTTTGTTTATACAGACCTTCACCACATGGCCGGGGGTGACCGCAGGAGTAGGCCTGCCTGGCACACCCACTCCCCAGTACTCAACCCACGACACGTTAGTTCACTTGTTATACAGGCAACATATTTGCAGTTGTTGACCTATCGGTTAAGGTAATCCTCCAAGTCATAGTGTTAGGAAGAACACCTAATATTCAGTAACGCCCTGAGAGAATACTGTACCTCTAATCCCAGTGAGTACCACTTTAATCTTAAAAAGATCACAGGTGGTCCACCACACCCCCACCCTACACACTCGCTGAGGGAAA